GGGTGGCCAGGCTTGAGGCGTGTCTGGGAATAGAGGGGGTTTTTAAAGGGATCTGAACGCCCTGAGGCTGGACAGCCTCGGCGAATTTGAAACCTCAAGCAAACCCTAAAGCCCTCAAACCTAATCTCTAAACCCTAAACACTAAACCCTAAATCCTAAATCCTAAACCCTCAACCCTCAAGCCTCACGCGCAACGGAAGGGGTTCACCGGAAGATCCATGCGAGCTTGATATTACACAATGTGAAAAGTACAGAAGCTACTGCATTTTACAGCGTATTCGGCTTGCGCGGTATTGTGCGTTCGAGGAACGGAGGGGCATGATTCCGCGGAAATGTCTTGTAAATTTCCGCGTGCAACCTTGATTGAAGATGAGAATTTTGCACGTTTTAGGAGTGAAAAAGTGCAAAAACCAATGGTGTTAGCAGAATGCCAATGACAAGTGTTACATCGTACCCTCAGAAATTGCCAAGGTTCGTGGCCAGATTTGGACCCTGTTCAAAGCACTGCGTTTTACAAGTCGAAAAGCCTGTAGCAAACGAAGCACAGCGCTCATAGTCAGGCTTTTTCTGCGTTCGCGCGATCAGAAGCTGTATATGACATGCATTTTGTCCCATTACGCGCGGTATTTTTGCATCACGGTTCCTGGGAAGGACATAGACTTCGTCCCACTGGGCGCAATGTTTCTGGTACTTCGATGCACTTGTAACAAAAACGTGTTCATGGCTTGGGCTTGGATTGTCTAGTAATGGGGTGCTCTCGAACATGAACATTGTTATAGGCATGGATGTTCTGGTAATGGGATACTCTCGAACATGAACGTCATTATGGTTTGGGCAGGGATGCTTTGGTAATCAGATGCTGTCAAACATGAATGCGGTGTTCTTGCATGAGGGTTCCCGAAAAATGCTTTTTACAGGTCAGGATGGCTGTCGCTGAAGCGAATGTAATTACCCCCGCCACCCGGCCCTCCCAAATTTCCAAGCCGAGCCAAACTTGACGAGATCGATGAGACCCGGGCTGTGGGAGAAGCCTGGGAGTTGGGCGAAGCCTCAATCCTAAACTTCACCCCAGCACGTGCTTTTGGGGGGATTGCTCGCAGGAGATCTCCGTTGGCGGCCCTGGGCATGTCATCATCCTAGGATCCGGTTTAGGGTTTAGGGTTCAGGGTTCAGGGTTTACGGTACTCACTGCCCCTCAATGACAACTGGGTTGTCCTTGGAGTTATTTAGATATTTTCCCCTGCAGGTTTCATGAGGACCCTATATACTAATATTTTCAGATGGCGCCAAAGGCCAACCAAGATTAATAACGCAACCTTCGAATATTGAGTATGCCCCTCGTTTCTGTGCTCTTACAAGGTATACTGAATGTAAAGGGTTGAGGGTGTGAAATAAAGTGTGAATACATATTATATATATATACCTATGTTGGGGAATGGATTCCTCACATTGAAGGGGTATGAGGCTGTGGCTTTTAGAGTTACGTAAAGCGGAGCAGGCGAAGGATTGGCTGTGTAGATTTCTTGGGTGGTCTCGAGGTGAATTCTGGGCAAAGGGGGCAAAGGTGGAGGGTGGAACACTTCCTGCAGCGGCTGTTCGAGCATAACCCTAATCCCTAAATCCTAATCAGGTTTTCGTCCAGGGCTTGAATCTTAAAGCTTACAACCCTGAGCCCCAAACCCCAAGACCCTAAAACCCTAAAGCACCAGAGAACCTGCTGAATCCCACTGCAATCCCCGGCGTCTCAGGGTTGAGGGTTTAGGGTTTCAGGGTTTGGGGTTTGGGGCTTACCCTAAGGCTCTTGGACCCTCATAATGGGATCCCAAACCCTAGCCCCCAAAGCCCAAACCTTCCCCCAGAAAGCCCCAAATAGTCCTAGGAGCCTTAGGGTAGGCTCTATGAAGCTGAACAGGAACAGCCTGGGGATACCCACCCAAAAGCGCACATTTAGCTGTTTCTTGCTGTTCCCATTGCCCCTACCTAAACCCCCAAGATATGTAAAATAATGGCCCTAAACCCATAATAGTTGCCCTAAAGGCCATCATTTTACATACTGTTGGGGTTTAGGTAAACCCTAAACCCTAATTCTGAAGCCCCGAATCCTGCACTCCAGGCCCTGCACTTAACCCCAACTCCTCTATCCTACGCCCAAAACCCAAAGCCTGAAACCCAAAGACCCCCAAAACCCTAAAGTTTAGGGGTTTAGGGTTTAGGGATTTAGGGTTTAGGGTTTAGGGGTTCAGGGTGTAGGGCTTAGCCTAAAACCCTAACACCTGAAACACCAAAACCCTAAATCCCAATCCTGAACCCTAAACCCTAGCACTTAGAGGAGCCGGCCTGGTTGGCTCACTCTGTGCTGTCGTCCTACTGCAGAAGGGCTTCAAGGCCAGAATCTGGTGTTTCGGTACTGCCCCCCCTCCGTAACAGTTGGATAATAGGACCCCTAATATAGACTGTTACTGGGGGGCAGTGCCCAATGTTTAGGGTTTAGACTTTGGGGTTTAGTGTTTAGCTTCTGGTGGTTTAGGGTTTAGTTGTTGGTCGTTAGAGCTTAGTTTTGGGGGTTTAGTTTTTTGGGGTGTCGGGTTTAGTTTTTGGTGGTTTAGGGTTTAGTTTTGGATGGTTTAGGGTGTAGTTCTTTCGGGTTGAGGGCTTAGTTTTGGGGTTTTAGGGTTTACCTTCTGGTGGTTTAGGGTTTAGTTTTTTGGTGGGTTTAGTTTTTGGGGTTCAGGGTTTAAGTTTTGGGGGTTCAGGGTTTAGTTTTCGGGTTTTTGGCTTGGGATTTAGGGTTTAGCGTTTAGGGTTTGGGGTTAGGGATCTAATGTGGAACTGCTTTAGTATTTGGAATTCGTTGCGGAGGATTTAGGGTTTGCTCTGAAGCCTGAAGCCCGTGCAGAAGAGCCTGCAGCGAGTTGAGGGGTTAGTTTTTGTGAGGTTAGGGCAGCCTTGCTCTTCTCTTTGTAACTTCCAGTGTCATCGATATTGCATATCTGCTGGCCCTGAATGCTAAGCCCTGAACCCCAAACTCTAAACCCTAAATCCTAAGCCCTGAGCCCTACATCCTAAACCCTAAACCCTAAATCCTAAACCGCGCGCTAAAGCGCAGATATTACCTAAACCCCAAAAATATGTAAAATAATGGCCCTAAACCCATAATAATAGCCCTAAAGGCCATTATTTTACATACTTTTGGGGGTTTAGGTAATGCCTCCCTCCAAGAACTGATGCGTGGTGACCATGCCACGGAGTATGGGATCCCTCCAGCTGCCCCTACAGAATCTGGTTTAGGGTTTAGGGTTTAGGGCCCTAACCCCAAGAGTATTTAGGGTTTAGGGTTTCAGGTTTAGGAGCTATAATTTAAACTCCTTAAAGGGTGTTATATGGGGTTGTAGTATACGAGTTATTCAGAGGGATGCTGGGAGTTTAAATTGTAGCTCGTATCTTTTCGCAAATCTTAAACCGTAAGCCTTTTCAAGGACTTTCACCAGGGTGCAGAGCCGTGTCCCAGGCCCTATAGGAAGGTATGAGCCCTAGACCCCTGTAGGGTTTAGGGCTGAAGGTTTGGATCCTAAGTCCTAAATTCTTATTCAGGCGCATAAGCCCCTTTAGGGCTTCGGGTGTGAGGTTTGGATCCTAAATCTGAAGCCCTTATGCAGGTTCACCTCTTCGAGCGCTACCAAGATATCCGATCGATACCCAGCGCGGGGAGGTCCATCAACTTGAGTGTCACAAGCCGCAGCTGGGTCAAAGTCATGGATCACATTTTAGATCTTGGGATGTAGGAGTTGGCTTGTAAGGTTCGGGGTTTAGGATTGTGGGATTAGAGTTTAGGGTCAGGGTTTAGGGCCTGGCTCTGCGGATGCTTTGTAATGTTTTTCTAGGAGAATGGTGGTTGCCTGCGAGTTGTTGGTAGGGAATGGACGAATGGATCCCCATAATGGCCCCTTGTGGTCCCCATGATCAATCTTATCCTAAATCCTAAGCCTTTAACACTGAAACCGGTTGTGTTTCATCATGTCCTACCCAGACCTCTTACAGAATCTAGAGAGTAGAACCCCCCCAGTATGATACACTATATTAGTACTGGGCAATATCTAGGAAATCTTAAATGGATCTACTTTCTAGATCCTCCCAGCGGTCTGGGTAATGACTAACCACCCTAACCCCTAAGCCCCATAATCGCGACCTGAAGCCGTGAAACCTAAACCTTAAACCCCTAAACTCTAAACCCATAATTCCTAAACCCTAAACTCGAAACCCGAACCCCAGGCGGACTACGGGCTATCAAAGCTCTTGGGGGGAGCCTCTACGATGCTGGGCTGGCCATCAAACCATGCGGACTTTGGGGTTAGGCTAGGGTTTAGGACTTGTGAGGGCTTGATAGGGTTTATAGGGTTTCGGTTCAGAATTTTTGGTTTTGTTTGTTGGGGCTTAAAGTTCGGGGTTATATAAGGGCTGAGGACGTATGGTGCAGGATCTAGGGCTGTGGGTTTAGGGATTTGGGCTGTTTTTTTGTAAGGAGCATGCGGTCACAGCTATTGCAAGTTGGAGTAGGGCAGCTTTTCACAGGGGTTCAGACCACTAAGGACGACATCACCAACGGACTGGCCACAAAGGTCATGGGCCGGATTATCCATATGCCAGATGGGAAAGTTCTTTTCCAAAGATACGGCAAGGATGATACGGAGCATCTCGGTCCATGCTTAGTGACTGAGAGGCTTAGTTGGGCATGGGTGGTTACCCGGAGTGATCACAACCAACCCTTGATTCCACTCTAGACCCTGAACTCCTAAATCTCTGAACCCGCCGTTGACCATAAACCCTAAATCTTATAGTAGCCCGGCTAAACAAAGGTACTTGGAGGTTCATGGGTAGCTATACTCGGGGCTAGAACCAGGATAAGTTTAGTTGAGTCAGGAGGGGCGGTTAACCTTACTGATTATTACCCAAAGTTGCAGCTCTACTTACGGATGGCTTGCAGAATGCCTACATACAGAAACCCTTCTAAGCCTGCTTCTCACCACCCCTGAACTTCCAAGTACTTCGGCCCAATTCCTTTCCCCTGAAACATGTACACCATTGGGTTATAAAACTTGCTCAAATAGATAAACGACAGATCTCTATCTATCGATCTATCTTTACATATACGTCTATACACATGTACATATATATATATATACTTAAACCACCCAAAAAATGTAAAATAATGGCCCTAAACCCATAATAATGGCCCTAAAGGCCATTATTTCACATGCTTTTGGGGTTTAGGTATATGTCAAGATGAATGTATCGCTGGATGTTGGCTAGTGGCCTCCCCGAAGGCCTCCAAGTAAGGCAGAACCTCACGGTGTCACGTCCGCATTTTACCTATACCTAAACCCCAAAAGTATGTAAAATAATGGCCTTTAGGGCTATTATAATGGGTTTAGGGCCATTATTTTACGTGGTTTAGGTACATCCCTCTATGCCGCGGCAGAGCGCGGTTTCGGGTTTAGGGTTCCCTCCGTAATCCTCACAACCCTACTTACAACTACCCATGCACCTGCAAGTAAGGCATAACTACTCATAAGCTGCTGCAGACTCTCAGTGTGAATGCCATCTTCCTTTTGGTGGATCCATATGATTTAGGGGTTGGGTTTAGGGTTTAGGGTTTGGATTCTCCACTATGGTAGCCTAAAACACTGAAACCTGTATGAGCTATAGTCTAAACTCCTAGTATCCCCCTTAATAACCCCTATGGTAGTCCCCTACGTAATCCCATATATAACCCCCTTTAAGGAGTTTAGACTATAGCTCATATAATTCCCATACAACGGGCACAAAGGCGTCAAAGTGAAGTCTGGGGGAAATTCGCCTAGTTTTTGGGGTTTAGGGTTTAGGGTTGCCTATATCGCCTGACAGAATCCTACATAATCCTCACTCCTATCTATGTAGCACGGCTCATGGACCTTCAAGTAGGCCACAGGTTCTCGCTCTATAACGACAGTTTCCATTAAAGATTGCCTATTTGATGTTAATTTTGGCGGATGATGCCACAGGTTTTTGGATAGCCCCAGTTTCCACTTAAGATTTCATGTTCTCCCTCGTTGGGGTATATTACTACAGCTTTGAGACCTAAACCCTGATCCCTAACCTTTTCAAGCGCTACACTTGGGGAGAATAGCCCAATTTTGGGACACCCAGGCATAACTACTGCCCTAAACCCTAAACGCTAAACAGGCATAACTACTCGGTCTCACGCTTGGACCTGAACAAGTTTCTGCTGAATGCGGCTGCGGATGCTGGCGCAGAACTTCACTTCGACCACGCCTTGCTGGTAGTTTGACTGATTAGGTTTTAGGGTTTAAGGGTTTAGGTATTAGGGTTGAGGGTTTAAGGGTTTAGGGTTTAAAGATTTAGAGTTTAGGGATAAGGGTTTTGGGCTAAGGGTTAAGGGTTTAGGGTTAAGGGTTTTGGGTTTGGGGTTAAGGGTTTGTGGGTTAAGGGTTTGTGGGTCAAGGGTTTGTGGGTTAAGGGTTATAGGTGACTTCAGGTTTTTTGGTTTTTGGAAGTTTGACCGGTCTCACGTACTCTTTCCCTGGGTAAGGAAAGACCCCTCAAACATAAACATGTACCTGGACCCCAAAAGTTTGTGAAACAATGGCCTTTATGGCTATTCTTGTGGGTTTAGGGCTCTTATTTTACATGTTTTTGGTGTTTAGGTACTAGCCAATAGTTTCCTATTATGATAATATCATACGAAGCACTCGTGTTTCCTACTACGCTTGCCTGCTTTTTCCTCTTTACGCTTTACACTCGGCCGCACCTCTTGAGGTCAGGCTATTCTTATGGTGAAGGTCGGGATACCGCACATTTAGGGTTTAGGGTTTCGACGTGGAGGCTTACTGCAGGCATCACTTCTAGACTTGGAGACACAGCCCTAAACCCCCTCAAACGGCCTAAACCCTATAGTCCCCCTTAAGCAAATAGAATATGGGGTAGATGGGGATCTTACTATTATAGACCCAAAACCATATTCTATCTACTTAAGCCCAGGAAACCTCAGACTTTCTGACGGAGGGCAGCGTCGGAAGCTGTCTGCACTTCAAGTGTGGCCAGGCAGACTTCTTGACGCCCGGGACAGTCAGATGATGTTCTAGGGTTTAGGGAGGTTAGGGTTTACGGTTTCGGGGGTTTAGGGTTTAGAGGGTTTGGGGTTAGGGTTTAGGAGTTTTGGGTTTAGGGGGGTTGGTAGGGTTTTAGGGTTTACTGGGTTGCTGTTAAGAAACGTAATTTAGAATAGCATATGATGGGTATATAGTAGATAGTAGGATCTCCTTGTCATAGGAATCTAAAAACTTCCTTAATGGCAACCCCTTGGGTTCAGGGTCTAGAATACTTGAGGTTTAGGGCTTGGGGTCTAGGGGTTTGGGTTTTCGGGATCAGGGGGCGGTCAAGCTACGTCAATGTGTAGCAGCGTCATCGTATCGCTGGCTCTAAAGGTTCTTTAGCATCCACATAAACTATAATCTCAACTCCTTAAAGGGGGCTGTATAGGGGGTTATATAGTGAAGTACTATAGTGTTTACTAAGGGGGATAATAGGAGTTTAGACTATAGCTCACATGGTGCTGCATCCGCAGACCTTGGAGTCCATTTGAGAGCCCCAAAGCACAACCAAGGAAGGTCCACGCAGACTGCCCAGTGATTGCGTGCGACGGCGCAGGTTCTCGGGTTCGCTACGCGCTGCGTCGATGCGGCCTCACTGAATTTACGGAGGACCTCCTAACCCGAGGCTACAAGGAGGCGGGGTCGGGGGTTCAAATTCGCGGTTCCCGGGCGAAACACAGATCTCAATATCATATAAGTCTTTTCATACGGACCCTATGTTTTATAAAGCCTCCTCAGCAAACCGCAAACCCTGTAATCAGTAGATCCTTATCTATCTATCGATCTATGTATCTATCTATTTATCTATCTATCTATATATCAGTGTTTGTATATTTGTATATGTGCATGTGTGTGTATATATATATATGTATTTACATCCCTACTACATAATTCCATAGAACCCTAAACCCTACACCCTAATCCCGAAACCCTAGGCCTATTCCGAGACATGATGAGGTGCTCTTTCCCAAGCCGGAGGAGGGCAAAGACTTCGGCGCTCAGGGCGAGAATGGTGACATTACATGGTTTAGGGTTCAGGGTTTAGGGTTTAGGGTTCAGGGTTTGAGATTTAGGGTTTAGGGTTCAGGATTTTGGGTTTAGGGTTTCATGTTTAGTTGGAAGGTTCTCACGATTACCCTTGCAGAATCTGCGGCAGGGACCCTGGTAACCCCTTTGAAGCGCGCATCTATCCCTAGTGCTCTTAAGGGCCCTGCATATGGAGAAGTGCCAGTCACGGTTAAGGTTTAGGGTTTAGGGTTTAGGGTTTAGGGAAAATGAGAATGCATCCTTGCAGTACATAATTCTTATTAGGTACTGCATGTACTCCGCTGCTCCCCATTCCCAACTCTAAATCCTAAATCCCCTAAACCCTAAGCCCTAACGAACCCTACACCCTAACCCCCCCCAAACCCTATAGTCCCCCATAAGTAGATAGAATATGGCGTGGGTATGTTATAAGAAGATCCCCATATACCCCATATTCTATCTACTTAAGGTGGACTGGAAACTCCCGCGTGTGCCAGGTGAAGCATGCGATGGCCGCTTGGGCCTTCACATTTGGCCGCGTGGCGATCACATGCTCATGGCTCTAGCCAACCGAGACGGGTCCTTTACCGGCACCATCTACATGGACAACGAGGGCCACCACGTCGCAGCTAGAACTACGGTGGATACTAAAAATCCTGCATGACCCTAATGTAGATTTTTAGTATCCCCCGTAGGTACCCCAGTAGTACCTTTGTTCCCTTTTCTATTTTGGGGTCTCGTTATTTAAGCTGGACATGAGACAAAAGGACGCCCTTAGTATGAAGCGGTTACTGAGGAAGTTAGGGAAGGAAGTTCTTTGAGGGAACATTAAGTTGATCCCTAAGCCCTAAACCCTGTGGGTTGGGGTACGTGGCAGTTGAGGATTCTGGCTTTACCGCTTTACCAGAAGGACACCAAAGGAGGCTACAGGTTTTCACACATGAGTCATAGTCTAAACTCCTTAACTAAAAAGGGGGGGTGTGATATAGGGGACTACTATAGGGGTTAGAAAGGGGATACTAGGAGTGTAGACTATGCCCACATACCCTTAGATTAGAGGTGACTTGCTTAATATTGCCGCCTAAACCCCAAGCCCAAAACACTAAACGCTCAAAATCTCGAGTAGGGACCTTCAGAATGTTTTATCTTCCCTTTTTCGTTCTAGGATCAGGAGAAACTCCGGTGTCGACGGTACATCCCTGCAGCCCCTAAACCCTAGACCCTAAACCCTAGACACACAACCGCTGAACCCTGAACCTAAACCCTAAACCCTAATGTCTAGACGCCAGACCCTAAATCCTAAACCCTAACCCCTAAATCCTACACCCTAGACCCTGAACCCTAGACCCTCTATCCTAAACCACCTAAACCCTGAACCCTAGTTTGAAGCTTCCAAGACTGTCTCAGGCGAGGATGAAGCCTTTGCAGCTTTCACGGATACTCCAGAGGGCAGAGCAAAGTGCGCTGCCTTCTGTGACTTACAAATTTTAGCAGGTTCAAGTTCATGTATGGGGTTTAGGGTCTAGGGTTTTCGGGTCTGGGGTTTATAAGGGTCTAGGGTTTTGGGTCTAGGGTTTAGGGTTGAGGTTTGGGGTCTGTCTAATTTGAGGGACCCTGGAGTTCGGTCATGTATACTACCAAATAAGCCCTTGGAGAACCTATGATAGCCCATTATAAGTAGTTTACCTGAGCCATTTTAAACCCTAGGGTTCCACAAAGCAGGGTTGAGGGTATTGGTTTTTAGTGTGGTCGAGGTATTAGTTGGGGATGTGGGAACGGCATCCTATAGTGATCCCTACAAGATCTCCAGAGCGGTTCCTTCAAAATATTCCCCCATTCACTCCCACCGTAAACCCTGAGCCCTAGACCCTACACACTAAGCCCCCTAGACCCTACGCCCTAGACTTTAGACCCTGAAACCGAAAGCCTAAACCCTAGACCCTACGCCCTAAACCCTAAACCTAACTAACTAGACATCCTCGTTTTTTGATCTTTGGAGAAAAGGTACCCCTTATTTTGCGAAACCCTAACTCCTAACCCCTATATAACCGCTATAAAATCCCTACTAGAATTTAATAGTTTCCATTTCAGCTTCCATTATCCACTAAACCCTAATCCCAATAAGCAAGGCGAGAAGTACTACGCGCACGCAATACCTCATGTTGGTGGCCTGGACAGCCTTGTGAATCTTGGGCTACGTCTGGACAGATTTTTTAGAGTTGGGGTACAGGGTTTAGGGTTTAGGGGAGAAAGTATACTGCGGGTTTAGGGTATAGATTTTAGGGTTCAGGGGAGCAAGTATAGGGGTTAGTTTTAGCGGATCTGTCTATAAGTAATAGCTGCATTGGGCCCCAATGTCTATACATAATATGCAAACTGGCTGCCAATCAATGTCGATAGAGAGTACCTACATGGGGCTTTTTCGGAGCCCTATGGTATAGGAGGATCGCAAAGTTCCATTTTTTGTAAGAACCTTGGGTAGACCTAACCTGAATTTCTCATCCACAGGGCTAGCAGGCCTTGATACCAGCACGGTGTAAAACTGTGTTCAGCCCAGCAGGCTCCAACATAACATAACTATATAAGGTCGCAGCATGTCATGTTGTACTTGGGGGTGTGTACATTATGCGTGGGCTGCCTATTAGCGGGCTGCTACTCACGATGACGATCGTTCCAATGGATCTGTTTTTTTTTGGACGGGGAGGGGTGGGGGTCTGATTTTACCTATCAGCCTCCAATTATCCAAGTTCATAGAATAAAGCCTAAGCCCTATAAAGCCTACCTGCATAGCGCATACCATGTGATAGCTACATGTTGCGTGGAGCCTGCAGACGTGGTTTCCACGTTTTATGTGTCAAGTACTTCGTTTGTATGTCAGTACGTATAGGCATATTTGACATCAGAAGTCGTGTGTTTGTATAAGTATAGGTGCTTGCGTAAACGTAGGTATGGCAACGAGTGCTGACAGGGGTGACAAGTGAGAGCTGGTACGATAGCACGATGCAGTTGAGAGCTCCTGTGATGCCTTCCTGGCTGATTTTGTCTTCATACCTTACTCCCGACTTACAGAGGTGGCAGACAATCCGGCATCGAGAGGACTGTTGGAAGTATGAATACAAGAACAAGTACGCTTACATATACACGTACACATACACGTACATATACATAAGCATACACATACGCACACACATACACACACACACATACATACACATACATGCACATACATGCACATACATGTACATACATGTACATACATGTACATGTACATACATACATACATACATACATACATACATACGTGCATATACATACACGTACATACATATACATACAAGTACATAGATATACATACATATACATATACACACACATACATACCTACATACACACATACATGCATGCATGCATGCATGCATGCATACATACATACATAACATACATACATAACATACATAACATACATAACATACATAACATGCATAACATACATAACATACAAACATACATACATACATACATACATACATACATACATACATACAAACATACACACATAACGTACATAACATACATAACGTACATAACATACATGACATACATTACATACATTGCATACATTGCATACATTACATACATACATACATACATACATACATACATAACTTACATGACTTACATAACATACATACATACATACATACATACATACATACATACATTAATACATAACATGCATTACATACATTACATACATTACATACATTACATACATTACATACATTACATACATTACATACATTACATACATTACATACATTACATACATTACATACATTACATACATAACATAACATAACATAACATACATACATACATACATACATAATACATACACACACACATACATACATACATACATACATACATACATACATCCATACATACATACATACATACATACATACACACATACATACATACATACATACACACGTACGTACATACGTACGTACGTACGTACATACATACATACATACATACATACGTAAATACAGGCATCTATACATCATTTTAGACATGTGGACATAGATGAGCACATTCGGGCATTTTGGCATGTATTGCTTTTGAGAGTTTCCAAATATGCACACACATGCACTGTTGCAGCAAGCCTCCGAACTCCGGTTCATGAAGCAGACTAACAAGATAGCTCACAAAACCCTAAGGTCAAAAGTCCAAACCCTGAACCCCAAATCTCCAAACCCTAAACCCTAAGTGATGCAGACCTCGGAACCGGTACCCGGAATTTTAGCGTCCTCACATCCTTGGTGAATTGGGTTCAGGAATCAGATTGTCAAGAACCCCACTGGCATCCTTGGGACCGTCAGAGCCACGAAGTGGGCATCGCAGGGTAAGGCCGGAGCTCTGGGTTTGGGGGCTGGGGGTTTCAGGGTTTAGGGCTTAGGATTTGGGATTTAGTGTTTAGGGTTTAAGGTTTAGGGTGGAGGGTCAGGGTTTAGTTTAGGGCTTAGGGTTTAGGATTTAGGGTTGGCGGCCGGTTGCCAATCCTTGTATATGGGCCCTGTGGGCTATAAAGGCTCCATATGTGTTACATGAAGATATCACAAGGCTGAATAGTTTTCGAGTACCCTAGACCCTAATCCCCCCCAAAGAAACAAGGATTTCATCATTTCCGGAAATATGAGAGTTAAGGGATAGGGCTTTGACTTTCTGACATATCCTGCTGGCTTCCGCAGCTGAGTTGTGAGTTCACCCAAAAGTTTGCAATAATCAATGGAGGGCTTAGGGTTTGGGGTGGTGTGATGTTAGGATTCAGGTTTCGAGGCCCGCGTCCTCCACCCACTCATCCGGGATTGGTATAGAGGACGGCCCCCTAAAAGGTTCGACCCTCCTGTTACGCGGTTTAGGGTTTGGGAGGTCCATGGGTGGATCTAATTGGGGCTATAGTAAGTGGAACCATAGCTATACCGCAAATCGGAGCATGTGCAATAGTAACCCTACGTAAAAGTATACCCAAGATCGGTTAATCTACATACATTTATTTACATTATACATATTTTAATGGATATGTATATATATATATATACGTACGCACACGTATATTACATGTATATGTATACGTATCAACGTTCATCTCCCCACCAATTCCCGACACAACCCTCCTTGCATACTGATGACTACCCATGAACCCTGCATCTTGGACCCTCAACCTATGAATCCTGAACTGTAAACCCAAAACCCTAAACCCAAGAACTCCAGACCCTAAACCCTAAATCCGAAGCCCTAAACCCCTAAACCCCTACACCCTAAACCCCAAAACCCTAAACCCCTAAACCCTAAACCCTGGCATCGTCATCCCCCAGGTGCTGCTAATTGGTGACTCTTGCCATGCCATGGTCCCTTTCTTCGGTCAGGGATGCCTGGCCTGTCAAGTCAAGGTCAGTTTAAGGCTTTAGGGATTTAGAGTGTACGGGTTTAGGGTGTACATAGGGGTTTAGGGTTTAGGGCTTAGGGTTTAGGGGTTTAGGGTGTAGGGTTTAGGGTTTAGGGTGTAGGGGTTTAGGGTGTACATAGGGGTTTAGGGTGTAGATAGGGTGTAGGGTTTGATGAATTTTAATTAGGGTTTAAAGCTTAGGGTTTAGGGTTTATGGCTTTGGGTTTAGGGTTTACGGTTTAGGATTTAGCCAGAATTTCTTTGAAGTGAGTTTGGGGATATATACGGTATATATACGGATTAACGTTCAAGGTTTCCAGAAATCGGGGTCCGATTTGGGGCTCCTTAGATGGGGAGGAGTCTCTTATATTTGGATCTACATTGGGCTCCGATTTTGTCCATGCAAACTGTCAGAGAGTTTCGGGTTTGGATTGATTCGGGGCTCATGAGAAAGTAGGTCAAGGGAGTTGACAGGGTTGCTTATTGATAGCATTAAGGTTTCTTTTGTGGCGCTATAGAACCGTTTCAAGCCAAAGCACAAACATGGAACCTGCCTGGATACTGGACCCCTAAGGATGCAACTGTGGCTTCGAGGACACTCTGTGGCTCAGCCGGCTTGTCGACAAGTACTGTTGTGAGGGCGGCAAGGTTTCCCCGGAGAAGTGCACTGGGGAGAACTTCGCGGCATGTTTCGCAGCCGTGGAGGCAGAAAGAAAGCCCAGTGCAGACGCCATTTGCGAGATGGCGCTGGAGAATTTCTTGGAGATGCGAGACAAGACGGGTGATGAGAAGTTCCAAGCTACTTGTTCATTTAGGTGTGAGCCAGGACTGATTTTCCGTATTCTCAAGGGTCCTAGCACCATGAGGCAGACATGTATTTGACAATTCAGTCAGAGAAAGAGAGAAACCCTGAGACCTTATTCCCTCATGTCAGTAAGTAATTTGTTTAGGGCGGATTTGAGTTGATTCAGCCACCCAAAACACACCCTTTTGTGAGCTTCTGTGTAAAGCATCTGGAGATTCAGATGTGATGCCGATCCTTTCAACACCCACTCAGGTTGAACAACACATCGCGTGGAGGTTCAGCGATTTAGATTTAGGGGGAGAAGCCAGCTTGAACTGGTCTGCGACTTGTGGAATCCTAAATAGCAGTACACCTATATCCCCGAGCAGACACGCAGCAACGTACAACCAACCCCGAAAACTACAGCACTGACAGCGCCGATACACACTTGATGATGAGGATGATGATGAGGATCATGATGGTGGTGGTAGTAGTAGTAGTAGTGGTGGTGGTGGTAGTAGTAGTAGTCGTAGTAGTAGTAGTAGTGGTGGT